ATTTGGTTTCTGAAACACTGGGCGAAGGAGAGGGAAATGAGACAATTAATTGGCCTAAAATAAAGAATATTTACTGGATGTACATACCTTAATGCAGTTGCCTCTGGTGCTATGCAAACACTGGCACAAAAGAAAAATACTTCAGGCGGTTTTTCAACAGCAAAAATGTTGTTATAAGTTTGATTACATTATTTTAATTTTTTCAAGGAAAAGAGCAGTAGCCAGAATCAGAGTGAATTATGAGAATATTAAGAGTCCTCTTAAGTTGGCAGTGTTTGTAACAGAATAGAGTATCACTACCTCCACCAGTGAGGTATAGTTATTTTCTGTTTCAGCATACACTTCGTTATAGTGAAATTACTCTTTTAATGATATCCAGTGAGTATCTGTGGATATAATTGAACTGCTGAGATACTTTATACTTACCACCTATTTGACCAGTATAAAACCACCTAAATCTAAAAGAGTTTTTACCTTAGCCAGATTTAATGTTCTGCCTTCTAATCTCTTGGAAGGGAGAATTCAGGGCATATCCTATTCTCATCATTTATGTCCTTGCAATGGTGGTCAAGTAAAAACAGTGGGGCATGTTCTCTTTCACTGTCCTTCTTATTAAGATCTCCACAATCTTCAATCGCCTATTTTTAAAACATTTCTGAGGAGACCTGATGAATTTTATATTCTTTTGCTGCTCTCTGACAAGGTTTCTTATATCACTATTAAATTGGTCAAATGCTACGCAGCCACTATAGCTTACCTCACTTTCCTGACCACGTAAGCTCTTCAAGTGCCTCCACTCTTTTTAGATTTCTTGTTTAATTTTACTTCCTAGGAGAGTTGGGGAGGCATACTGACGGTTACATGTGTCTCTTAATTTCATCTTATGTGAGTGATGTGATATTTTAAAAGCTTGTATATCCTTCAACTTAGAACTTCTTTCTTAACTTCAGTATCTTAAAAGAGCCAGACAGTGCACTGATTGTGACATATTATGTGATCTTATCTAAACAATATATTTTTGTCTTCCTGTCATTGACCGTAATAAATGTTAATTAGATAATTAACATTATGAAGTACCTTAGAGTCTTTCAGAGAAGTCTTACTTCTCTACACTCAGATAGCCTTGGAAGTCACATGCAAAACCAATTTAATTAGGTATCTAATTGAAAATATGCTTAATCTCTTTATCACCAAAATTAAACCCAAAATAGATTATCCAGATGACTGCTAGTTGCCACCACCAAGCAAACTCAGAGCAAAAGGATCCTACAGTGTTATTAGTGTGGGACAGCTTAAACTGGGGTATTAAGTTAGCATTCCTCAGCTCCATATCTATTCCCATCCAACTGTCCTAGAGAGTTGGCATCCACTTTTACTGTAGCACAGAGAAGAGGCACAAAGTAATGATATGTGGTGCGATACAGCAGCTTTTTCAAGATCCTGTTGAGTAAAACCCCACTACCTAAATTTTAACCAAACAATGGGACAAATATAGAATTTGATGTTATAATCCCATTTAAGTAAAAATGTAAATTTATTTTAATTTCTAACCTTCCTTGGCCGCTAAAATAAGCAGACAACCTCTCTTGATATTACAGATTATCCTTTTCTACGCATGTTAGGTTAGTGTCTCCAAGTGGAGATCCCCAAGAAAGAATTTGGTTGAGCATATTAAAGATTTTGCCTGTGAAACTGATACTGAGGCCTAATCCACTTCAAATTGTTGGTAAAGGCTGAGTCAAAGGCCAGCCACTGATTACATTACATCTGTTCCAATTCAGAAGGGACACTGAGGGTTAGACATAACAAGAAATCTAAAGGGATTAAAGGAAAATTTATTTTTTAAAAGTTCCTAAATGGCAGATCTCTGCATCCCAAATCATTCTAAGATTTCTTGCCTTTTTAAATGAAGAACCTGGAAAAATGAGGTGATAATTAATAGTAATTATCCTACCTTCCTCATCCATTTTCAATTATTAAAGAATCGAAAGATGACAGGGAAGGTCAGCAATGATCAAAATAAATTATTTTAAAACATTTTTAAATGAATGAAAAATGAATCTTATTCCTTCCAGCAATTGGGCATTCACTACCTTTACTAAGTCACTAAAAGGTTACAAAGATTATTTTCTGAGGTCTCTAGAACTTTTCATCAGTCAAAGATAGTATAAAACTTGGGATTAAGGCAAATAGTTAAAATTGGGCCAGATGTGCTTCCTTCGCTTAGGAAGCCAGACTGCCAACAAAGCAAATTGCAGACTCCATATGAAGCGGAGGTGACAAAGGTATCAATTTGTAGTTCCTTGCCCATTTGCAGGCAAGGCTGATGCTTCCAGCCCCCTATAGATCTGCCAATTGCCTTGGGTAAAGCTCCACAGGCCTTTTTGTAGGCTTGCAGCAGAACAACATGACATTTGGGAGCTGTTTGCTTTAATCCAAAGTTCTGTATCATCTTTGTCTGATGCAGAGTTCTAGAGAAACCGAAAGTTTATTTACAGAGGTGCCTCAACTTACAAACACCCCTGCTTATGACCATTTCAAGTTACAACCAGCTCCGGCCACAAAATTTTGCTTCTACTTGCGACCGGAACTTCCACTTACAAACAGAAAAAGGCAGGGGGAAAAGGCGGGAAATTCAAATTTCTAACTGTAGGTGATGAGAAGGCTACTTCTTTGTAGCTCTTTCACACCAGCAGTTAGAGTGTGTGCATCAGAGGAGGATTGGGACTGCCTCCTTCTGCTTCTGAGTGAGCATGTGTGTGTGTTTGCAGCGAGGCTTCAGGCTGCCTGGCAAGGTGTTGTTTTCTGCTTTTTAAAAACTATTCTGGTGTTTTTGCAGTGTGGTTTTGAGCTGGAGGGGTTATGTTTCTGTTCTGTGATGGGTCTTGGGGGGTTGTTTGTTTTTTGGTTTTTTTTTCCCACCATTTCTGATGGGCCTTGGGAGGTTTGGTTGCTTTTTGGATTTCCCCCCCATTTCCGATGGGTCTTAGGGGGTTGTGGGGGGCCCTCCCCAAGGTTGCTAAGCTGTTGTCTATTCTTCAATGTAGAGAGCACACTCTCCTGGATATGACGCAGCTGCTTCTGAGGGAGGAGTGGCTACCCATTCTTCCTCTTTCTCATAGAGAAAGAGAGCTAATTTCAAAGCCTTTCTTTGGCCAATCTTAATTGGCATTATGTAATCATTATCCTATCTGTATACTGTCAATTATCTGTCACCTTAATAAAAGGGAGTCCTCCTGAGGGCGTTGCCCCAGAGGTGTATGGAGTGGTGTGTGTGGAGGACCCTGCTGGCAGACATCTCTGTGTGTGACTGACTTCTTTGCTCTCTCTCTCTCTCTAAAAGTAATTGCTTTCTGTATTCAGTGATCACCTAAACCAGTGGTCTCCAACCTTGGGCCTCCAGATGTTCTTGGACTTCAACTCCCAGAAATCCTGGCCAGCAGAGGTGGTGGTGAAGGCTTCTGGGAGTTGTAGTCCAAGGACATCTGGAGGCCCAAAGTTGGTGACCACTGACCTAAACTATCAACCTTCTCATTCTGTGACCACTACAGAGGGTTTCCTTGCTTTTTGGATTCCTTCCCCCCCATTTCCAATGAGTCTTGGGGGGATTCCTTGCTTTTTGGATTTCCCCCCATTTCCGATGGGTCTTGGGGAGTTTGTTTGCTTTTTAGTTTTTTCCCCCCATTTCGGATCTTGCACGATCTGTTTGATTGCTTTTTGCTTTGTCTTGTTTGCATTTGCAATGGGTCTTGCACAGCTCATTGGTTTTTGGTTTGTTTTCTTTGCATTAGGTCTTGTACGCTTGCTTTTTTGCTTTGTCTTGTTTACATTTGCAATGGGTCTTGCACAGTTGGTTGTTTTTCTCCCCCCCCCCTTTCAGCTGGGTGGGATTAATCACATTTCCGACCGGTCTTGCAGTGATTTTTGTGTGATTTTTTTTCCTTCGGCCAGAACGGATTAATCACATTTCAATGCATTCCAATGGGAAATGGTGCTTTGACTTACAACCATTTCGAGTTACGACCATCTTCCTGAATCAATTAAGTTCGTAAGTCAAGGCACCACTGTATTTATAAATTTATAGGGATTCAACAAAGGTATTCCCCAGACTCTGACTTTGTTCTAATGAAGTAATTGTACTACATTTTTCTGTTTGTGTCCAGCATTATGTTTGATTGAAAGAAAAACATGGCTAATATAGTCAAGAAAGTTCACCAGTGTTTCTTTACCATCACAAATACAGACATTCAAATCTGTCTAATGATTTAATATTCTCCATTCCAAAGATATTGAACATGGTTTTTATGTAATAGGCATTGACGTGACAGAAGGAAAAGCTCCAGATTCACTTTGACAAGGATTAAGACATTTCACACCCTTCAGATATTGTTAAGCTTGAACTCTCATGAGTCCCAGGCACCTTGGCCAATGATCAGAGAAGTTGGGAGGTGGAATCTTATAATCAGAGAGCTGAAGGTCCCATACTCCTTTAAAAGGATAGGAAATTTAGATAGTAAAAACTATGATTCTATTCAACATTTTTGAGCTATCAACAATGTTCCTCTGTTGCTAGGAAATTCTGCCTTTCTTATATATCACTGCCCCCTTAATCAAGAAAGACTGTTTAGCAATTTCTACTATATGAAAAACAGTAAGAGCTAAAAACTTCTATTCATGAATTATATTAAAAGAATTAACAACAATACAGACCAAAACATACATATGTAATAAACTCTCATAAGGTAAAGGTTCCCCTTGACATTTAGTCCAATCGTGTCTGACTCTAGGGTGTGGTGCTCATCCCCATCTCCAAGCCGTAGAGCCAGTGTTTGTCCATAGACAGTTTCTGTGGTCACGTGGCCAGTGCGACTAGACACGGAACACCATTACCTTCCCACCAAGGTGGTACCTATTTATCTACTCGCATTTACATGCTTTCGAACTGCTAGGTTGGCAGGAGCAGGGACAAGCAATGAGAGCTCACTCGATCTTATGACTGCTGGTCTTCTGACCTTGCAACACGGAGGCTTCTGCAGTTTAATCCGCAGCACCACCACATCCCTAATAAACTCTCCCACTACATAATAAAGATGAAGCTTGGTAATAAAGTCTCTAGTAAGTTACGGTACATACTTAACTAGGACATTACTCTAATTACCAAGATTGCTCTCCTAAAACAGACAAACTATTCAGAATTAATAAGAGCTATATGATTTTAAACAATAGCAGCTCATGATTGGAGTGGGTTGCAAGTCCACATTGTCATTTTAAGGTGAGACATCCCCTATTCTGATCATTATATCAGGTCTATAAAGGGACAATAATATACAGTACATGTTAGCAGCATGAAGTGTGGACTTGTGCAATAATAACTGTGTGCCATCTAGTCAATTCTGGCTAATGGCAATCCTTTCCAGGGTTTTTGAATGAACATTAAACCACTTTTTCAAGATGAATTCAGTCATCCTTTATATTAACTTTGATTAAAAATAACCAAATAATGGTGAATCACAGTAACAATATACATGCAAATCACATACTTTAGAAAAATATTAAGGTATTAAATGAATTTTAGATGCAATCAGGAATCTGTGTGTTTTTAGATCAAAATTTATTGCTTTAGAATAGTTATGCTGCCTAAAATGAAATACATTTTTGTGATAAAATGAAATGTATCTTAGAAAATCTTAAGAGAGTATATGGGTAGATATTGCCTTAGTGCTAAGAAACAAAATGAGTTATGTGAATTAGTGTTAAATATGTATGAATTTCAGTGTCCATGTTTAATTATACTCTTACTGCTACTGTGAGATGCTAGTCAGTTTAGGTACATTTTCCTAAGATTAGATAGCAAGGTTAGCTTTTAAAATGCCCTGAAAAGATCTAAGACCTGTCCATTAATTGGCTGGTAGCAATGCAAAAATATAGTAAAGGGTTGAAAGCAATCACCAACAGATGCACCGATAGAATTCTGAAGTGTGGATTCTCAAGGTCAAACGTTATGATACAGTAAAGTATAGTTAGAAGGGGAGCTCCCTTTGTAGGTAAATGATGATTGCTTATACTGGTACAATATTTTTTGAATGCAGAACATGGCAAAAACATGGCTTGTTTTTGTTTTGTGATTAGTCATTAGGATGCAAACATAGGCTTGTACAGGAATGAAGCTCTAAAGAAATTCATCTGTGGAGGGAAAATGTTTATCACCTTAAAAAACTATAAAATTGGCTTCTCATACAGATTGGACCTCAGGGACAGGTAGGAAATTACAATTCTCTGATCTATATGAATTATAACCTTGATACAGCACTCCCCTGTACAGTATTTGTTTTGAGGTTTTTTCTGCCCCCCTCCCTTTCTACCTTCAAGAGGTTAAAAGTGTTTACTACCAACCTGTAATGAATCTATCAAATCTATCCTACTGTTTGACCATTCCTGCTGCCCTTATTCTTCTATTTATGATGGTTTATTGATTTTGCTGCTGCTGCTGCTGCTGATGATGATGATGATGTTTCTTGTTTTATAAGTGTACTTTTTCATTGCTGTCAACCACCCAGAGTAGCGCTTCACACTAACTGGGCATCATAAAAGTGGAAACAACAACAACAATAACAACAACGAGAAGGAGGAGGATCATACATTTTTTGACTTAGCACTCAATTCCACAATTCACTGATTTAGCAAGCAAAAAGCCTACTGTTTGGTCTGCTGTGCGGATGGGCTGGTTCACTCCTTTTCTGGCAATCACATGATGTAATAGCTGGAATATGCCCCCTCCCAACAAGCTCATTAAGACAAAGAACTGCCAATAACTCAACCCCTAGCCACATTTCTATGTGCCCTATTCCCAGCAAAAAAAGAGCCATATGTTTCAATATAAAGGTAGAGGGTCTGAGTTATTGACAGTTCTTTATCTAACACATTTGGAGACATTAGGGACATTCTAATTTACATCAGTGGTGAAATCTGAAACCTACCAATTCTGAGCTCAATCTAGCCCACACACCACAGGCATGGAGTCAGAAAAATTTTCTTCTTCTTTTTGCACCATCCCAAACTCTGCAATGTTCAGACTGATGAAGACTCCAATGGAGTAAAAAGCTAACTTCTACTTATGATATTTTAGTGGTCTAATAAAGTGTCACCTACCCTTGTATTAATATACTGGGCAGTACGCTATTGATAGTCCCAACTAGGTCAGACCCATTGACTCTGTTGGATTTACTTTAATTGTAGAGTTATCATCAGTTGATTCAATGAGTTTACTCTGCAGCTAAGACTAGCAATAGGATACTAATCATTTTTTTAATTAAGGGTACATATTACTAGCTCTTTGAGAAGCAGAAAGATATTCCAAATTTTGTTTAAAAGTTTCATCTGGAGAGTATATACATTTAGAAGAATGTGAACAAACAACACTGTAAAATGTTCACTGAAAGATAATGAGACTTTTCAAGTCAATTTTTTAAACATTTCATTCAAGAAGCTAATATGTCTCATTCTAGTGTTCACTTCCTCACCCATATCAAAACATTGCCTGAAATCCTGTCACACAGTCATGCAAATGATGTAACTTGTAGATGCAAATTTAACAAATCTCTATAGGCATTATCTGTTGCATGCCAAGTCATGTGATTCAGCATGCAATGCATAATGTCTATAGAAATTCCTAAGTCATCACTAAAAGTTGCACCTTTGCATAACTGCACAACAAGATTCCAGCCATTATATTTTAAATTCCCCAAGGATTCTTTAAGATGTTAACAAAATCATCATCATCCATTATTCCTATACTTAATCCTTCATAATAATCTTCAAATTCACAAAATGAAACTTCATTAGGATTACTGCAGGCATCTTCCAGTGTTTCTAGAAATGATGATTTAATTTCTTCCTCTGTTGCATTACCTGTTAAAATATTATTCTGAATTAAGCATTTTATGAAGCATACAAATAATGTAAGAAAAAAGATAGAAAACATTGGCAAAATCAATGAGTATTTTTAAAAGTACATCTAGAATTTAACACAAATTAATTTCTTCTCAACTGAAAATTTTAGGAGGCAAATTAAGTCAGTCAACCTAAGGGAGATTTTTGGTAAGGGAATTTATCTCAAGTGTTTAGCCTACATTGATTCCTAAGCTGTAGATACACTGAAAGATGATGGTAAATAAGACAACTGCTTTTGTATTCCACACTGATAGTTTCTTTTTTTCAAAAACACTTGATAACTGTATCTAAAACAATAATTTTGAACTTACTGTGCATATAATAAATGATACTTCATACACACTTTATATCAAGGTAACATTTGCAGAAGAGATTGCAAAAACACACTTTACTCTGGATGAATTAATGAAACCAGGAATAGTTACCCTGGATTTTTTCTCAAAACAATAAACACTGGCTAAAATCCTGTTGCAGAGCAGTGTTTCTGTAACCTAAAGTTGCACAAGTGGTAATAACTATCACGTCAAAGTGGAAGATAAATTCATGAAGGAGTTCTATATGCATATTGCACAACTAGTCACACTGTGAATTCTACAATCAAATTGCACAGTGCAGACTGCCTAGGCGTACTGCCTGGCAAACTTCCACGGCCATAACGTATGTTACACCAACGGCAATTGGATTTCAGCCACTAATTAAAAGAAGTATTTATATTCCAGAGGACAGTCATGTTAGACTCTTGCAGCTAAATGTAACAAGTACAGTGGGGTCTTGACTTAAGAACGGCTTGAGTTAAGAACATTTTGACTTAAGAACTGCTCTCATAGGAAAATATTGACTTGACTTAAGTACTTAGATTTGAGTTAAGAACTAAAAAAAAACCACGTGGGAGGCAGGGAAAGTGCAAAATTTGAACTTTCAGTTCACTGTTGGCCAGTGAAAAGGGTGCCTGTCTGCTTCCTCACTCCTCCCAGCGTTTACAGAGCGGATTGGGAGACAGTCTTCAGACTGCCTGGTACTGTACTGCCTGGACTGTATTTTCCCTGTCTTCCCTGAACCTTTCTTGACCTAAGAAAAAAAGAAACAAAATATCCCCCTCTAGTGGTCAAAGGCAGAATAGCAGCTTCCCATTAGTTTCTATGGACGGAAAAGAGCAGATACGGATGAAATGGTTTTCAATGCATTCCTATGGGAAATGCAGATTTGACTTGAGAACTTTTTGACTTGAGAACCGCCTTCCAATACGGATTAAGTTCTCAAGCCAAGACCCCACTGTAGTCTTTTTGCATCTTAAAGACCAACATGTTTTATTTGGTATGAGCTTCTGTGAGTGGTAGCTGGCATAAAGAGTAAGTTATCTATCATTCCCATATTTCCCGTATGTAACTGAAATTAGTAAAAAAAACCAGGATGTCATCTATGTATCTATGTCAAAAGTAATTCTGACCATTTTGTTCTACCGTTTCCCCGAAAATAAGACCTAACCTGAAAATAAGACCTAGTTTTTCAGGATGCTCATAATATAAGCCCTACCCCAAAAATAAGCCCCAGTTAAGTGGAACCCTGCCCTCCACCATTGTGCAGCAACCAGAAGAAGATGACCTGACTGTATTTGAATAAAAGTACATGGGAAAAATTGAAAACCGGTTAATCTGTTCCAATTGGAACGGATTGCCATCGTTCAGTGAAAATCCCCATAGGAAACATTGTTGAGTGAAACAATGTTTCCTATATTGGAATGTATTGAAGCCGACTCAATACATTTCAATGCCTTTGCGAAGTCCTTTTTCGCTCCTGTAAAAGTGTCTTACAATGTTTGGATGCTGTTTTAAATGATTGCAATGGTTAGTCCACCTCCTGAAACCTATGCAAGCTGATTTTGGTGTTGTTCTGACACTTCGTTAATTTATGATGATTTTTTGTTTTTTCCATTGGAAACCATTAGACAGACCATCCAATGGTTTCCTATGGAGAAAAAACAAAAAATCATCATAAATTAACGAAGTGTCAGAACAACACCAAAATCAGTTTGCATAGGTTTCAGGAGGTGGACTAACCATTGCAATCATTTAAAACAGCATCCAAACATTGTAAGACACTTTTACAGGAGCAAAAAGGGAGATCGTTGTGTGAAAATCCCCCATAGGAAACATCGCTGTGTGAGGCGGCAAATTTAACAGAAAAAGGCATCGTTGTGTGAATTCATCGTTGTGTGAGGCACTCGTTGTGCGAGGCACCACTGTATAGCACTAAAACCTAAAATATTTAGGACGAAATCCAATGTTTGTCACAACGAGAATAAACCTACTCAATCAGCAGAACCTATGTGTTACTGCACCAAGTTCTCACTGATTTAAGTGTGTTAACTCAAGTTGGAACAAAGAGCTACATACAGTCCCCCCCCCCAACAAACAAGTTTGGAATTCCAAAAGTAACATTAGTGACCAACTATTATTTGTGATCTCAGTCCCCTCTAGTCATGTGGTACATGTAGCCATGCAGGAGAAAGTGCATTAGATTCTCATTCCAGCCTGGAAGTAAAAACTGAGATGTCCCCCAAGCTCCATTTTCCATGTTCACCAAAAATATGATATAAAATAAAGGTGGATCAGTCCTGCCCTCCCTAAGTTCAGAGCACTCAAGAACTGCATCATCATTCTCTCATTTTGTGCTAGACACTGGGCCAGTTAGTGAATCAAATATTACAGCTCTGACAACAAGCCAAATCAACAATTGTTATACATTAATCACCTGCTAAGACTTGAGGATGTCTTCTAGCACAATAACATTTCTTTATATCAATCATAGGCACGCTGCCAGTCTTGTTATAATCCAGTTTCATATATGCCTGAATAAAGACAGCAATCAGAAAAGTGTGTGGGAGAGAACAAATGAACATAAATGCTGTTTAAAATGAGAAACATGTACATATTCAAACACAAAACCAAGATGTGAATTTATATTGACTACAAATCTGGACCTGATCAAGATCTAGACAAAGGCAGAACAGAAATTAAATAATTAAGTAAGTACTGGAGTATCTCCAACAGCACTCACTTCACTGGCCTCAAGACTAAATTATCTCTTATTAAAATATATGTTTTATGTCCACAAGTCTGTGCAGCTTCATGTTGTGAATTCAATAGTGCCAATTCATTAACACTTCTTTTTTGTCTGTTGTATAAACAGTAAAGCATTTTCTCACTGACTCACTGATATTCTCACTAACATTTTTTGATGACCCAAAAAAAAGACAAGTTCTCTTCTCTCCACCCGCACAGTACTGTTCAAAGCAGGAGTTATATTTCCACAAAAAGAAATTCTTAAAACTACTATGTTCAAGGACAGTGTAATTAAATACCAAGAAGCATATATTCAGCTTAATATGCAAAACAAGACTGCAGATGAAAGTAGACTGGGGATGAGAGGCTTGCAGTTAAGGATGTGACAGGTTCTTTCCAATATGCAAATTCAACAACCCTGCCTTGTGCATGATCATCTGACTATGAGAACTGATCTACTTTTTGAAAGATTATACAAATTAACTGAAGATATGAAGCAAATAAGAATAGGTCACTATATTATAATTACCCCCTCATTACCATATTCTGAGATTTTTTAAAAAAATGGTTAACTCCAATATGCCTTGTTTCTATGCTGCTGCTCATCCACTGATGGAGACAAATTGCCAGACTAATGGTAAAATCCTTAATCTTTCTCCCAAGACAGGGACCCACGTTGGCTTTCAATATAGTGTTAAAAAACATTATTGTTAAAATACAGCAAGTTACAAGTATTAAAATATAACTAAAACCAATAAAATATTGAGACTGTTAATATTAAAAATTTCAAAACATATCAACAGAAATATTAATGATACTTTACATTAAAAATGAAAAAGAAAATCAGCACATATAGTTAAAACTCCTCCCTTCAGTAGGCCATCAATTGGAGAAGGCCTGCCTAAATAAAAAGGTATTTGTATGACAATGGAAGATCAAGAAGAAGGAGGACATCCTAGCTTCACTTGGCAGAGTTCCGAGCAGCCATGTCCTCAACGAACAAGCTTTGGAAGGTAATTGGACCAAGAAAATGGTATTTTTGTTGCAGATGTCAAATATTTATTTATTTTATTTATTTATTTTATTTATATCCCACCTATCTAGTCGATAGACCACTCTAGGCGGCTTACAACATGGGATAGCACTATAAAAACAACAGAATTACATAATAGAAAACTTTCAACCATTGGGTTAAAACATTAGGAAAGAAAAGAGAAGGGGATCAGGAATTAACTAGGAGGGAAGGCCTGCCGAAACATCAATGTTTTTAATTGCTTTTTGAAAATACCGAGCGAGGGGGACGCGCAAATATCAGGGGGAAGGTTGTTCCAGAGGCGAGGAGCCACCGCCGAGAAGGCCCAATTTCTTGTCTTTTCCTTCCGGGCCTCCCTCGGCGTTAGGCTCCTCAGCCTCACCTCCTGGCTCGCGCGAGTGACACGGGTAGATCTTGGTGGTAGAAGGCGTTCCGCCAAGTATCGAGGCCCTAAACCGTTTAGGACTTTGTACGTAAGCGTCAACACTTTGAAGTCGATGCGGAATCTGATGGGCAGCCAATGCAATGCGGCCAGAGGGGGTGAGATGTGTTGGAATTTTTTCACCCCACTGAGGAGTCTGGCCGCCGCATTCTGCACCACCTGAAGTTTCCGCAACAGCCTCAAAGGCAGCCCCATGTAGAGCGCATTACAGTAGTCTAATACAAAGCCCAGACAGCCTTTTTTTTCTTTCTTTCTTCTTCATAATCTGCATGTGTCATACAGAACTTTATAGCTCACAACCAGCATTATGAATTGTGCCCATAGATAGACTGCTCACTGGTGGGGACAGCAGCTGATAAGCAGGCTTCCTTTAAAAATGAATCAGGAAAATTGTTAAATCAGAAAAATTTCATTGGTTCAGGAAAGTTCAGGTCCTCCAGTTCAGAACACTCTGAATCAACAAATCAGCCATTTTTATTCATTTCCTGGTTTGTTTTTTTATCTATGCCCACCTCTAGCCAAAATATAGTGCATAGCAGCTGTTAGAAGTGCTCTGATTAGAAATAATATTAGAAACTTGTTCAGTGTAAGGCACCAAAGTAAATAATACAGAATCAAACCCATTAAGTATATCAATGATTGAATAATATGTTGCCTTCACTGGCTATAGTTCCAACATTATTTATTGTTGAGCAGCTGAATACAAACCAATAGGACATGCCAAGATAATTAAGGCAGCAAACGCTGATATAAAAAGGAAATACAAGGACAAAATTGCGATATATTCTCTAATGTAAGGGTCTACTACTCTCAGCTTTCCCCATTAGACTAGAATGATGTTTAGTCTGAACTGGGGATGATTCTCAGGCATTACAACCAACGTATTATGCTGCTTTTCACAGGAACAGGCCTTCCCCTTACTGAAGCAGTAACTTGTTCCCTCCACATCGCTGATCAGCTTCCAACAGATTCTGGAACATTATGAGACTAGCAAATACACTGTTGGCCTCTTTCTTTTTTCTCCTGGAGCAGGGGTCTCCAAACTTTTCAGTGTGAGGGCCCCATCATATATGTTCCACATTTTCAAGAGCCGAAGGAACACACATGTGGATATGCGTACACACACACATGCATGTGTGCACGGCTAGAAGGGAACGGACCTGATCCTGTGACATTTGCTGGGCTGGATAAAAAGGCAAGGCAAGCTGGATGTGACCCGCAAGCTGTAGTTTGGAGAATTCTGTCCTAGAGCAAGTAGCTAACTAGCACCCAGGACTTGTATGCCTCAGACTGGCACATTTGCCACAAGATCCAGATACCAAGATGCCCATGCTTGTTTGGCTTGATCTTTTATTTGCTGCATCCATTTACCATTGAGAAAGTTTTCAATAAACTTCAACACAGACAAGTGGCTGTGTTCTTTCTCAAGATATCTTTTACCTTGGTTACCTGGAGGTCTTGAATGTGCAAGTTAAAACAGCTGGTTTATAAAATTAATAAGCAACTGTATTAATTATATGCATGCATGCATGCACATGTATGTATGTATGTATTATAGAATGACTATATAATTGAAATAACATACTTTTCTGACGAATGCTTTTCTGTATTCATTCATTTCTCCAAGAACAGCACGAGTAAAATCAACATAATCAACGTCCCCATTACTGTTGCCATCAAGTATTAGCCACAAAGATTCAAAATCCTAAAATTTAATGAGTTGATATTTATCACACAGAAAACACAAGATAAGCATTATCACAAACAGTAGCAAAGTTCAAGTTATTGCTTAAGGCAGAGCCTTCATTTGAACATTAGAACGTATGGAAGAGCTGACTTCCGAATCCCCACTGATTCAATGAGCCTACTCTAGTTGCAATTTACCATGACAAGCAAAAGGATTTCAGGCTCTGTTGTAAAAAAACAGTTAGTACTTTTGAAGTGTATCTAAGCTGTGAGATATTTCTTTGAGGTTTCAAATGTACATAGTTTTTTTTAGCTCAAAGTGTGTGATGGCTATAACTTTGTTTACATAATGATAACCAGTTTAAAAACTGGCCCTAGACTGCCACGTAACCAGGCTGACAATATCTTATGTTACAAAATATTTCATGAAATGTTCACATTGTGTAGTGCAAAGAGGACAACCCACATTGAGTTGCCTATTTACTTCTTCAAGCAGGAATGGCTGATCAGATCAGAGGTCTCCATGGCTCTCCCTAAAGAAGGAGGCAACCCTTACGCAATTAGTTCTTTTCTTCAGCCACAGATGCAGAAGTACTAGAAATAAGAAAGGAGAATGGCAAAAGGACATACAAAAGATAGGTTGGATGGCACTATATTGGTAAGAACTGCATCCCAGGATGGGGAGGGTGTCTTCCTTTCACAACAGAAAACACACATCTCACTGTAAGCACCAATGTTTCTTTTTGGGGGGTAGAAGAGGAAGACAACTTACAAATCAGGACTTACCAAAGCTAGTTAAGTCCTAGGAAGAGTTGCTAAGAAGGAAGTCTACAGTTGGTGCTGAATGTGACAAAAGTGGCCACACTTCTAGTGGAGCAGGTGGTAACCATCCCCAGTCACTTTAGGCCAGAAATCTGGTAGCAAGTGAAAATTCACACTTTCAGCAATATGGTCAAGGTAAATTTCGAGACTTTCTTGCAGCTGGCTAGGGGGACACAGATAGGAAGCCAGATTTCTTTTGAAGTGTTTTGTCCTTTTTAGGCACATTGTATTGGCCCATTTGACATCCAGCTTGTGCTATTCTTCTGCCATTGGCCCAGAAGGTGGAGGAAGGTGGCACTTCTAGAAAGAATACAAATTAAGCAATTCAGATGCAAATGAAGGCTTGAGTCTACAAACTACTGTACTTTTTGAATTGTATACAGTTCTGGATGGACAGAAAGTGCCTATACAATTCTGATACACTTCTAGGCAAGGCTAATGCTAAAAGAAGTAAAACTTTCTATGACAGAAATTTCAGAGACACTTGTCTCAGTGGTTCAAAAGGTGGTCTAGATATGATCAGATAGAGTCCATGAGTTTTTGCAAAAATAAAACTAAAAGAGGTGTGTGAGGGTTCGTTGGGGTGGGCTGTTTTCTCCTCAATAAACGGACGAGGCATTGGCGGTAGGTCAAAAGGTTCTGCATTTATTTCAACATTAACATCAACTGGGTTTCCCCCCACAAAGGGGTTCAGGGATTATTGTAAAACATGACTTGGTTTCAACGGTGTCCATAAACTATGTACAAAGGGGTTCGTCGTCTCTGGATTCCAGGGGCCGGTTGTAGGTGGCACCGACCCTAGTCCAGGGCCCAAAGCTTCTTCCAAGGAAATCAAGGGTAGTGTCTCCTCGTCCCCACTCCAGCCATCCCAGGAGGATCCCTCTCCTCCATCTGTACCCCAAGGGCCGGGTAACCCCCCAGCTTCCTCAGTTCGGCGATATGCCATTGTTTCTTTCTTTCAAGTTCTCTAGCAACAGCCTCTCTTTCTTCGCGAAGCTTTCTCCTCCACTCCTTCGCTTCCGTTTCCCCCCAATAAGATGGTCGGGGTTTCAATCCGAGCTGCCGGCGTTTTTCCGCCTCCTCATGAGGAACCCTGACCTGTTCCCACTTATGGGTCCAGGGGTCCTCCATCCACACCCACTCCCAACCGCCCGGAATATCCCTCGCTCTCCCCCCTTATATCCCCTGCCCCTGCTTCAATCTCCTCCCCTCTTTTTCCCGCCTGAACTCGCCCCGGTTCCCGGGTGATTTTTAACTCCTTCATGACCTCCTCTAGGTCATGAGTGTCCACCCCCTTGTTTAGGGTAAGGGATCCGACGCATTCTTTTCCCCAATCAGGGGTCTCAACTCCTTTCTCTTCCCATCGCGGTGGGGATGGCGGGGGGGATGTCTGTGTCTGGTGGGTACTCTTCGGGAGCAGCGGCACTCCTACCATAGCCTCCATTTTGAGAGCCTCACAAGGTGGTCACAAAGTTTTTGTACTTTGTGATGCCATCAGTCTGCATATGACAGGTTTAATCATTTACTCACTATGGCATCAATAAATTGTTGCGGAATGGAAAATCTGAGGAATCATGTCTAGCCATTTAAAATGCTACCTGAAAGCCCTGTGGTAAATCCAGGCTGTGGGGAGGGGGTTTTCAGGTCATTTTAAATTTAGTATTTTAATGGCTTTGCTTAACAGCTGATTAACATTTTCTATGTTGAACAGTCTGGAGGATAAGGCAGAGCTAAGCCCTGCTTTCTGTTTTTCCTCTTCAGAAATTCCCCCTTCATCTCTTTTAATAGGGCAGACACAGAGGATCACTCTTCCAGATGAGTGCAGGTTCTAATGTTTGCTGCATCCTAGCTCCCTCTACCCACAGTTCCTCTCATACTTCAGCAATAAACAGCTTCATCCAGTAAAGAAATTCCAGATGGAGAAAAATTCCACCTATGATGGGAAGATGGATGGTCCCTGGTTGAGGATCCCCTGCTACTCACCCCCTTCTTGGTTACAGTAGTTTTGCCCAGGTCTATACATTGTCTTTTTAATGATGCAAGTTGCCTTAGGTTCTTTTTAAGGAGAAAGGCAGTAGGTAGGTAGGTAGGTAGGTAGGTAGGTAGGTAGGTAGGTAGGTAGGGAGGTAGGTAGGTAGGTAGGTAGGTAGGTAGGTAAGGTAAGTAGGTAAGTAGGTAAGTAGGTAAGTAGGTAAGTAAGTAAGTAAGTAAGTAAGTAAGTAAGTAAGTAAGTAAGTAAGTAAGTAAGTAAGTAAGTAAGTAAGTAGATGGGGCTTCACGGCAGATATCCTTGGAGGAACAGAAAGGCTTCAGTTCCTTCTCAGTTATACTCATAGCCCAGTCTGAAATGATGGCGGCAGAGGCAATATTTTCTGTTGGGCAGGGGTAAGTCTTTTGTTCCTTATCTCAGCCACAGTCTGGGTCTGCTAGGATGAGTGGATGAGGAAAGAAAGCAGAGCAGAAAAACACAGCAGAGCTGTGCAGAAGTTGATTCCCCCCCCCTTCGGAGTACAGTAAAATATAAAGAGAAATATAAAGTTACAATGGCAAGAAAGACCAATAAGCAACCTGTGAGAAACAGAGGTATAAACAGGAAATGACTGAGCAAGAGTTGCTGTCTTTCAATAGAGGGAGCCATGGAGACATCTGGTTGGTCTGTTGTTCTCATCTATAAAAATGAGTAGCAGGGGAACAGAATCTGTACGATGTCCTCATAAATTATACAAAAATTACAAGAATAACAAGAAAAGTCTTAAGCATCCAGGAAAGACTTGCCCTGAAAACCTACTCTATTAGTCATTCTCCATATGTGGAGAACAGTGAAGCAATGTGTCTTCTGTAAGAGCCTCGTGGCGCAGTGGTTAAAACGCTGTACTGCAGCTAAAAATGTGCTCACGACCTGGGGTTCAAGTTGTTCTCATCTATAAAAATGAGTAGCAGGGGAACAGAATCTGTACGATGTCCTCATAAATTATACAAAAATTACAAGAATAACAAGAAAAGTCTTAAGCATCCAGGAAAGACTTGCCCTGAAAACCTACTCTATTAGTCATTCTCCATATATGGAGAACAGTAAAGCAATGTGTCTTCTGTATGTGTGGCTTCACCACATTGTAAAGGACCCTGATTTTTTAGAGTCCTCAAACTCATGGAGACTTTCCATGAGTTTCAGATGGTCTTTTTTTCAGAACGTCATTCTCCACATCAAAGGCTGACAACAACAGAGGATGAAGCCACCAATCTTAACATGTTCAGATTCAACACTTTCTAAATGCCAGAACAGGCCCTGTGTTACTCACACTGGCTTCATTAAAAATTGCTTAACAGATCATATTGTTTTCAAAGGAAACATTTCAGAAGATAAACCATTTTCTGCTATGATGACATCCCTGGAAATGCAACAGGGTCTGAATCTTTCCTTCGTCTTCTGAGGCACAGACACTTCCCGTGAGCCTTCTTACCTCGATCCATCTGGTCATTCCTGTGGTAATAGCACAGAACCAGGTCTTTTACTTCCTCATACCTGAAATGCTGCTACTGCAATGTGCCAAAGAGCAGGAACATGGGGAAATGCAGTTTTAGTATGTATGTATGTTCCCTTTAAAAACACACATACCATAGCTCCTGGCAACAGGAACTATGCACTGTGGTTTTTTTCCACAGCACCTGAGGTCCATACTACAGATGTCAAAAATGCCTGAAAACATTTTCCTTACTGCCTTGTGTCTGAGATGCTGCCATGGCAACAGTTCAGGAAGAGACCAAGTTGTCTCTCTTCTTTCCATCCTATCTTCACTGCAGTAGTGGCAGCAGTGGCCAAGCAAGTGGGTGGGTTGAAATTCTTCTCTGTCTTATATTAGAATCTAAGTCAGTAAAAATTTAGAAGGAAATGAGAGTTGGTTTGTAATACATTCCCATGGCCAACTAGCTCAATTTCAACAACTACTGAGGCAAGGATTCCAAAAGAATTCCAAGAGAACTGACTGAAAAACAGGATGCTTCATCAGGGGCAACCTTCCTTATTATGAGGAACGTTGCCTGACATATTCCTTAGAGACTTGAGAGAAAGCACACTGATTCTTAACAACTTGCTGGCTAAAATCCTGTTGCTTAGCATAGTAAATCACACTAGAATAGATTCACTCAATTAATAACATTTATGGAGGGGTTAAACTTACTAAATCCCCACTGAGTAATGGGTTTACTCTAGAGAAGCTTACTACAATAAGCAACAGAGTTTCAGCCACTGTTTCACAACAAACAATTTTCAGAACTGTTTGTAAAATCAATTAACAAAGCTTTTGTCCTGGATTATTCCTTTCTAATGGGATGTGGTGGCACTGCAGGTTAAACCGCAGAAGCCTCTGTGCTGCAGGGTCAGAAGACCAGCAGTTGTAAGATCAACTCCAAGCAACGGAGTGAGCTCCTGTCGCTTGTCCCAGCTCCTGCCAGTTTGAAAGCATGTAAATGAAAGTAGATAAATAGGTTCTACCTCGGTGGGAAGGCAACAGCGTTCCGTGTCTAGTCGCGCTGGCCACGTGACCATGCAAACTTTCTATGGACAAACGCTGGCTCTACGGCTTGGAGATGGGGATGAGCACCGCACCCTAGAGTCGAAAGACTGGACTAAATGTGAAGGGGAACCTTTACCTTTACCTATTCCTTTCTAAGTTATCTATTCTATTGATGTTATTCTGTGATCTACAAATAAACACAACCTTTTCCTTTAACTCCTCTAAATCAGTATATGAAGGATGAACAATATGAAAGAAGAGATATGGAAAAAGACAAGTTTCTCTCTACCCTCTTCCTTCCTGATCTATTTTCCAACAAAAGGTACACTTCACCTTCTACTCTGGGGAAGCAATACTTCAGAGAGCACTGGTGGAAGTTTGCGCCAGCATAAAACAGTGTACTTTTAAAAAAGAGAACTGCAGATTATGTTCAAATGGGGGTGGGAAGATCTGCTTAGGATAGTGTACGGATGACTATGTACCTCTTCAGAAATGTCTAGATGAAACGTTTTCAGTGCTTGCCTGAAGTCTTCTTTCGTAAGAATTCCATTTTGTTTTTTTTCTAGTTCTCGAAAGTATTTTCCTAATCCTGTAACAATACGAACTCCTCTTTTGTTTAGTTTTTCTCTTAACTTTTCTAGAAAGAAGACAAAAACAGAAAATACTTCCATGAAGATTTCTTTTATTGAAACTGCTTATTTTCAAAAAGCGCAAGATATTACATGCATAGATATACGCATAGAGTCAGACCCGTGGCCCACTTAGCCCACCACAGCCTGCCCTGATTTGAATTCATGATGTGAAGTTTTAGGAAGAGATCTTTCTCATTTCTTCACAAAGTGGGCACTTTTCACTGGAATTGCCGAATATTCAGTACCAGAATGTATGTACAGAAAGTGTGCTCCATCAGGACGATTTCTTAAAACCGCCTAGAGTGGTCGCAATGACCAGATAGGCGGGTATAAACGGAATGAATGAATGAATGAATGAATGAATGAATGAATGATAAACAGAATGAATGAATGAATGAATAAATAAATAAATAAATAAATAAATAAATAAAAAAGTATAATCACAGCATTTGTTGTGTGTCAATAAATCATTATATTTCTTATTTACAATCCAAAACCTATTTATTTTGCAGATCCATTAATATTAATAAAATTACTTTGGGATAAACAACAGTCTAGTTGTCATGAAAATACGTTTTCACATCCAGGACACAGAACTTAAAGCAAATAGGATATACAAACCTTGAACCGTGCTAAAAATATCCTTGCTATCACCTTCCTGATTGATGGGATGTTCTTCATTTTCCAGATCAAAAGTCCTATAATATATGTAGTCAGTAAACAGTCATATATCATAAAATGGAAGTTAAATTTTCCAAATATAAAAACTTGAACTATCATTTCACGGGACTGGGGACAGATTTTTGTAATGGAATATGCATGTATATTTTTAATGCAGGGCTGCTAACTTTAAATATTGTAGAGTATAGCAGAACTTAAGCCACGTTACACTTTGCACTAAATTATGTTTCAAATCAGGGTCGGTTGCAGATTTATAGGTCCTGGCTAACCCTCTGATATATTCCTTGTTCTGTCAGTGAGGACCCTACTGGGCTGACCATGCAATTAGACAAGCACTACTAAGAAATCCTCTTATCTCCCTAAGACAATGTTGGAGACACTGACAGAAACTAGCAAGGCAGCTAAACATAGACACCATAGCAAAGGGGGAAAAAACCCAAACAGAACCTCAGTATTGACATCACTGGTGGTCCCCAACAGACCATGGTCCTGGAAGCTGCCTAAGAATGAAACCAAGCCCATGGAAAACTCTTTCCATACATACAGCTCATGCACAAAACTGCCTTCCACCAGCAAACAATGCCTATTGGCTTCCAAGAAAATTTGGAACTAAGAACTGTCCACCTTTACTATATGGTTTTCAGTTATAGAAAGATGGGATAGAGATCTTGATTGCAAGTGAAAAGATAAATGTTTTTACAAGAAATCAGGAGGCTAATTGTTATTTTAAAACTCTAATGGAAGCACAGAATTAGTATCACTCCTAAATTAATGTAGGTCACATGGCACATACCAAATAGCTGGGTATAATCTGATAAACATTTTGAAATACATATGCTTTAGGGCCTTACTTAATACCACACAAATGTGCCTATGCACACATGCACGTGCACATGAGCATGCGTGTGCATGCGCGTGCGCGCGCACACACACACACACACATATAGGAGACATTGCTAAAAAGCCTCAGTCTAACAGATACTAATTGGATCTATGATAATAACAAACCAAAGAACATGTTCTCTGATGCTGATCTGAAAGCCTTGGCAGGTTCTACTAGCTGAAGGAATGCTGAAGATCACCTAATCCCAGGCTACGTAGGATTCAAATGTGCCTATGCACACATGCACGTGCATATGAGCACGCGTGTGCATCACCTAATCCCAGGCTATGTAGGATTTAGAACAGGGGTGTCCAACCTTTCACCTTCCCTGGGCCATATTAGAAGATGAAAATTTGGTTTGGGCCGCACATACATTTGGTCTGGGCCGCATGGGGGGGGCAGCCCTAGCCTTCCTCCGCAGCCCCACTCCAAGTACGCTTACCAGCAGCTGCGATCTCAGACAGCAGAGGCTGCCAGCTTCGACTCCAGCGGCTTTATGGGGCCTGGAGGGGGTCCACCTATTGACAGGGACGGTGCAATGCAGTCACGCAGCCCCCTTGTTCCCTCCCCTCCCCCTCCTTCCTTCCTTCCCTCTCTCCCCCTCTACTGTTGTGACATGCCCCGGGCACATTCCGGCCGCAAGTGCCAGCAGTGTAACTTGAAACTTTGGAATTTCTTTTAAAATAAAAAATTGCACTGGGCCGCATTACGAGCTGACCTGGGCCGCATGCGGCCCTTGGGCCGCAAGTTGGACAAGCCTGATTTAGAACTTTAAAAAACCACTGAAAAGCATATAATACAGATATAATATGATTCACTTAATTCCTTTCTTAATTTTAGCTACTACTTTGCATCGAATACGCATTTCCTTTTACACACTCATCTCTAAATAAACCCACAAGAAGTACAAGAAGGCATGGAAAATTGGTAGCAGAACAAACTAGTGTTTGTCTTATTCCTACATCCTATTTCATGCTTCCCTTTAATATAATATTAAATGTGTTTACTTTTGAGGGGGGAACCTAGACTTTTCCCATAGTTGTACTTCTTCCATCGAATACGCATTTCCTTTTACACACTCATCTCTAAATAAACCCACAAGAAGTACAAGAAGGCATGGAAAATTGGTAGCAGAACAAACTAGTGTTTGTCTTATTCCTACATCCTATTTCATGCTTCCCTTTAATATAATATTAAATGTGTTTACTTTTGAGGGGGGAACCTAGACTTTTCCCATAGTTGTACTTCTTCTAACAGTTAACATCAGTGCTGTATGTAACAGGGGGAACCTAGACTTTTCCCATAGTTGTTCTTCTTTTAACAGTTAGTGGCCAAATTAGAGCAGGCGCACTGTATCAATCGAACCTATGGAGGTGTTGACTCACTACATCCTCATTGATTCAAAAGACCTATTCTAGTGTGATTTGATTTGCTATGCTAAGCAACAAGATTTTTGCCTTTGTTTTGGTCTATAAACATTCACTGGATGACAATGGAATCTGAAAGCTGAAAGGGGAAGCATTGCTGTTTCTTTCCCTTTGCAGGATAAAAGCTTGTAAAGGAGGATCTAGGGCAACAAAATGGTCTGACAGCTCAGATGCCTCTCACCAATAATAGGCTTCCTCTGCAAAAGCAAAATGAAGTGCACTTAATAAAACAAAGTAGTATGTCTAAAAATCAGACCACAATATATAACATGCAGTTCTGTCTATAGTTTCCACCTGTTTCTCTGGAGCCTTAACTAAACAGAAAAGCTATGATACACACATCTCAATCTGTCTATAGTTTCCACCTGTTTCTCTGGCCTTAACTAAACAGAAAGGCTGTGATACACACATCTCAAACACACACCTCAAACACACACACACACACACAGCACCGCAGCAGCAGCAGCAACAACAACAACAACAACAATAACAACAGACGTCCTGCCTTCCAAAAAGAATTCTACAATGTGCAGTTAGGGAAATAAAATCTGACCAGTTAGTCTGTCTCCACTTACTTGAGAAAAGCTCTAGCAGTTTCATCAATATCTGTGACACGGATTGTAAATACTAGTTTCCTTTTAATACTTTCTTGAAGGCCAGGATGATGAAGGCTCAGAAAAGTTAGGTCTGCTCCCTGTGAGCATAATGTAAGAATGATTTACAAATACTACAAACACAAATTCTATTTTACTATATTCCACAAAATACAACCCAACCATCACTACCACCTTCGCAGACGATTTTAAATGTGTTTTAGTACTGATTTTACTTACTGTTTTTAATATAATACTGTACTTATTTAATTCTTTCTTAAGCTTTTAAACATTTGTATACTTAACTGTTTTAGCTTTTAAATATTGTCTTTTTAAATTATATATGCCACCTTGGATCCCTTTTAAGGAGAAAGGTGGGATAGAAATATTTTGAATAAATGATAATAATAAACAGATACAAATTATTTCACATATATGCAACTTACAAAAACTAAAACACATCCAGATTTACACAACTACAGAAGTAGTCTAGTTACTTATACGTACTTAGTCTTCCCCTTTCTCTTTTATTATTCTTTTCAGGAAATACATACTCTATAAGCCTTTTGCAGAGTATGCATGAAAGAGCAGATGAACAGCTGGTGAAGCTGTCCAGATTGTTGGAATACAATAGTAACAGAGAAGGAAAGCTGTGGGCTTTGTGAATGACTGAAACTGAGAAAGAAAAGCAGAAGGGCAAGCAGCACTTTCTAATTCACTTGGAAGGCTGAAATGAACACATATCCATAAAAGGAAACAACACCTTGACTCCATCTAATCTCCTAGTGTTCACAGATCAAGTTGGATTTTATTTAATCTCTTTTTTCTCTTAGTGTCAAAAATGCAAGTAATGCAAAGGAATATCTGTTCCTCAGAGAATTAGTTGTTAAAAGACACATGACTGCTTTTTCGTAACTACAGTCATAAATCTTTTGTATTCTCTGCTTTGGGCATGTTTCTCTTGAGTTTTTACACAAAGGAAGTATCTATTTAAGATATGCCCACTTTGCATATGAAAATCTTTGGTATGAAAATCTTTGGCACCTAAATTCAAATGTGCCCACTTTGCATCTTCAACCTCAGCAAGTCCCAGGCAAAGTTGCTACAGTTGGTAGAAGCTGCAGCAATAGCCGCAAATCTTGACTAAAAATATGGTTGCTATTAAAGACTATTCTTATCAGTGCCAGCATCTTCAACTACTGCATATGATCTGAGTCATACACTCTCTGGCTCTTGGTTATGCTGTATTTCTACAGTCTCAGAATATTTGAATGGCAGAACCCAACTATACAGGGAACTTTGGCATTTCTTGATTCTATTCTATATCTTACAATCTGAATTAAATTTCGATACATCTGGATAAAGAAACAATTGTCAGATCAAGGCAGCACTAAACAACTTCATATATAGAATTCTACAAAGAAAACATTAGCATTCTTATTCTGATGCATTTTATCTATCTATAGATTTATTCTATCTAGGATTATTCAGTGATTTAAAAAAACTGGGGGATAGGAAGAGCAGTATCTAAAACTAAAGCAAGTAAACTGTTCAGTTTTAAGATTTAGGAGTAAATCCTTTTTTTTATAAAATGTATGACAATTTGTATATGACTTTCGATTATATTTTGCCAAACTATTAATAAAGTAAATAGCTAGTAAGAAACAATGTAATGTGCTTACTTCTAAAAGTAAATAAAAATTGTGTTCAATGGTCCCATTCTGATTGCTCCTGATCTCCCTCTTGTGGAAAAAGCAAGGGAGGTCATCTGCTACTGGTTATACATAAACTCATGAAGTCAAGGAATATTCACAAATTTGAGACTGAATGCAAGTATTTATGTATTGAATGCAGATTAACCAAAAGCATTCAAAACCTTGATTTTATGGATTAGTCCTGAACTAGATTAATACCTCCCTCAATCACACAGATGGAGAACTTTCAACCTACAATCTGAACCCAGTCACTTGCCTAAGTCATCCAGACTGAGAATGCCTAGGTAAAAGTTCTCCCCAAAGCCAAAGATCTAGCTCCTCAAAAGGGGACAGGAGATCAAGTGATCTGCTCAGACAGCTTCACTCCTTCCCACACTTTTCTTACTGGGAAGGCAAAGGTGGCAGAGAGAATCAATTTGGGCAATGGGCAAATGGGTGGGTACTGAGCTGATACTTCAAAGTGCAGTTCTTCCAAGTGCTGACTGAGTTATCTACCTGCTCTCCTAACTGGGATGGCAAGCAGCAAACAAATCTAGGGCCTAATTCAGGTAATTCCTGGGAAAGTCACTCCTTTAAGTGCCATTTAAGTGCATTTTTCTGAGTACCCAACTGTCTTGACTGGTCCTAGGAGGCAATCCTGCTTCTGGACAAAGCCACCCACAATCTCACAATTTTATTTATTTATTTATTAAATTTGTACCCCGCCCATTTAAATAACATCTACTCTGTGCGGCTCACAATAAAAGTAAACCAAAAACAATCAAATAGTATCAAACAATAATTTAACAACAGTAAGAAAATCATTCAAGATGGGGGGAAAAGATCATTTATCTTTTGAAATAGTGGACACTAGAGACATGATCTATAAAGACTAATAATCACATGTCATCAAGCTGATTCTCAATTATGGCAACCCTTTCCAAGGCTTTCAGAAGTAGTTTACTACTCCCTCCTTCCAGGGATACTCTAGGACAGTGTAGGTTGCTCAAGGCTACAAAGACTGACTCTTCTCATGGGAGGCACACTGAGAGTCAAACTCCAGACCTCTGACTCCATAGCCAGGGGCCCAACTCAGGCTGTGACTCCACTGGCTGTAATCTGATTTGCAGCCCGTATTATGGTTGAGTTCACAGCCAGTGATCACACAGAGGCTGCAGATTCAAGAGTTCACTATGTTCACACTCAATGCAATGCGATCCACATTAGAGCCCACCCCCCTTCTTTTGTCTGGTCTTGCCTCTGCCAATCCTTTTATGATTCAATGTCAAGCTGCTTGATTTTGAAGGCTGAACAGTGTTCTGAAAGAGGTGGCAGCATTCCTAAGTTCTTCTTGACATGTACAGAAAGGCAACATATCATGGGAACATATTTTATTTTATCTGGGTTGTTTCTGTTTTGTTTGGGTTGGGTTTTTAAAAAAATTCTCATCCAGGAGTTACCTAGCACTAAACAAACACATCAGTACTACTGATAAGGTGATCTAGTACTATCTCATATATAGTTTTTTAATTAAAAATTGGAGGAGGATGGAGGACAAAGTATTCCCATAGTCCTGAATAACACGCCCCAACTGCTCATGTCACTTAAACACCACCGACAGACACACACCGTTTCTATCCAAGAATAAATCAACTGATAACACAGGGAAAAGTCTCTTTGAATCATTTCAGCTTGAAAAAAATCAGAAACCTCCAGTAGCAGAGAGAAAAAAAACGCCAATTGGGAGCAAAACGGGCCAGACCAATTCAAATCTTCCTTAGAACTGTGCGATCAATAAAGAAATATTCGAATTCACCCATGTTGTAAGTGGAGCAAATCCCGTGGTATTTAACCATGCAGTCTCAGCCTCAATGATATATCTGGACCACTCTACAGTGGACCCTCGACTTACAGACGGCTCGACTTACAGACTTTTCGAGTTACAGACTCCTCTGGCTGCAAAATTTAGATTCGATTTGCAGCCGGGGAATCGACTTACAGACCAGAAAAAATAGAATAAAAACCACTGGTTATGGGATTAATCGGTTTTCAATGCATTGTAGGTCAATGGAGATTCAACCTACAGACTTTTCGACTTGGAGCCACCATTCCAATACGGATTAATTCCTTAAGTAGAGGATCCACTGTATATGCATAACAATGACAGAGACATTACACCTTAAGTAAATATTATGCAGCTCACCATACTTACAACATAGAAATCATTAAGACAATATTGTTTTCCTTTTCTTTGTCCACGCTGATGGCTATAAACTCCTTTTTGAATAAAAGGTAGAGCATTTGTCCTGCATAAAATTAAAACATTTTTTGAAATATTTCACTATCAATACTGGTTCAATAAAATACCAAAGGAACTCTTCCTTGTCCTAAGGTAAAGGTAAAGGTTCCCCTTGACAATTTTTGTCCAGTCGTATTCGACTCTAGGGGGCGGTGCTCATCCCCGTTTCCAAGCCATAGAGCCAGTGTTTTGTCCGAAGACACTCTTCCATGGTCACATGGCCAGTGCGACTTAGACACGGAATGCTGTTACCTTCCCACTGAGGTGGTCCCTATTTATCTACTTGCATTTGCATGCTTTCGAACTGCTAGGTTGGCAGGAGCTGGAACAACAAACGGGCGCTCACTCCGTCGCGTGGATTCGATCTTACGACTGTTACAGACAGCTATGACATCACCTGCCTGTCACTGCTGAAGCTGAGTGTCATCTACCAATAGCGTGACAGAGGGTGGGACTTAAGGGGTGGAGCTGTTGTATATAAGGGGAGTGAATGGTGTGAGAGAGTCAGATAGGGTCTGAAGATAGGGTTTGGAGATAGGGACGGTTAGGGCTGTGAGATAAGATCTGTGCTATATAGTGAGAGTCTGTGAGAGTGTGTGTGATTGTTTTATTATTATAGTGTTTGATTTATTAGTTACATACAAGTGATTTACCATTCCTTTTGTTTGTATTCAATAAATCTTATTTTTATTTTTAAATCATACTTTGGCCTGAAGCGTCATTTGAGGGAATGGTTGGTGGCAGTGGTACTGAAGAGTGATTGTGTGTGACGTAATAGCCCCTTTGTGAGGTATAAGGAGGCTGTTACACTTGGTCTTCTGACCCTGCAGCACAGGCTTCTGCAGTTTAGCCCATAGCGCCACCATGTCCCTTTCCTTGTTCTACTTACCTATTTTTACCAAATTGTCGATATTCATATACAGTAAGAGATTTGTCATACATAAAGAAAAATCCGATGAGTTCTCGACAAGCATCACGTCCATTTCTAAAATGATATTTTTTAAAAAAGTAAAAACCCTATCAACCAACCAGGAAATAATGCATATTATTATTATGCTATGATTTTACATGTTTTGCCAAGTTAGATAAAACAATACCTACTATAAGAAGAATTTGTGAGACAAACTGCAAATAAATAATTGAAATAAAAGAGAGCTGTGTGGTCCTTACACAATACAAATGCAGGAGTAGGTGATACCTTTATAGAGCACTAAAGAAAGCATACAATCTGCTAGCTTTTGTAGATCAGGATGCCCACTTCATCAGGCTTGCACAGGTGTCTTGTCATTAGTGCAAAGAACAGAGTTCCAAAAAGTCATGGCAGATGGAGCTTTCCAAGCATTTTTCTTAGATGTAGCTTGGGAAGTAACTTTAGATGTAAAGTTTAGTAAGCAGATATTCCTAACTTACATCTAAGAAAAACTTGTGAGCGCACCCACTAGTGCTAGAAAACCATTAGTTCCACTTATCATTCCAGTATTCTCTCTCTTTCTCCTTGGCACCAACTCTTTTTCCTTCCTGGTGCCTTTCTCTCCCTCCCATCCCCATTCACTCCACCTGTGCCAGCTTCATCTGAACTAGAAACCCTTTTGCCATCCATCCCACTCCTGCTTTGTTCTTTTTCCCTCTGCTTCCCCCCCCATTTCTTCTCCCAACCCCCTTCCAAACTCACTTCCCACCATTATCAAGCACAAGGAGTTTCTTTCCCACTCTAAGAGTTGCTGTACTTTAGTTTCCAAAACCCAGGCAGGCACATCTGCCCATTATACACAGTTATGAAAATTATGTGGTATTAACCAGCTCACATACAAGCGCTAAGACACATAGACAGAACTTTTACTTGCCACTCAGAAGTGTTCTTTTCAAAGTTGCCTAATGGTTAGGAAATGAATATTGAGTTTTTCTTGATTATTTCCATCTAACAAAGGGATGCACAACCTGGAACCTGAAGTTCTTCTTTTCTTTTTTCTCACAATCTCCTTTTCTATACCACCTTTGTACTACTTCTCACTTCACAGAGCTCTTAAATCTTTAAAAGCAGCAGGCATTCAACATGGAGCAATGCAAGTATAAGAAGTGGTAGGGATGGGGCCAAGCACATAACTCCTGCACATTCCCCCACCCTCAAATCTGGGAGGCCTTCACATCTTCAGCACTGTGCAAGCACATCTAGTTGATAAAGTCTGCCTATCACAGAAAGCCACATCACACATACATAGTTTGTCAGACAACTACATAACACAGAAGAGGAAACTGTGGTGTACCATTAGAAGTGAAATGGCTCTAACAAGTCAGAAGTGAAATCTTAAATATGCTAGTTCTTCTCCTACACCAAACCAGTTACAAATATTTGAATGTATCTCAAGGTTTCTTTCTCTGAAGAAAATCTACATCATCAAGGTAAAGTTAAAGGTTCCCCTTGACATTTAGTCCAGTTGTGTCCAACTCTAGGGGGCGGTGCTCATCCCTGTTTCCAAACTGTAGAACCAGCGTTTGTCCGAAGACAGTTTCCATGGTCACGTGGCCAGCGCGACTAGACATGGAACACAATTTCCTTCCCACCATGGTGGTACCTATTTATCTAATCGCATTTACATGCTTTCGAACTGCTAGGTTGGCAGGAGCTGGGACAAGCGACGGGAGCTCACTCCATCATGTGGATTCGATCTTATGACTGCTGGTCTTCTGACCCTGCAGCACAGAGGCTTCTGCGGTTTAACCTGCAGCGCCACCAGGAGACCTCATATTCCTAAGAAAACTGTTTCTGCCACCTACTGACTCAACAAATGGAACTAAAGTCTGACTGCAGTTTTTAATTAGTTACAATTAGTTGATTTGTTTTTAAAATAAAACGACCCAAAAAGATACACCCATAGGATCACCTTAGCATGCATGGCATGTTTCACTATCTAGGAACTACAAGACAGACACGTTCATATTTCCTATGCACTACACATTAATCGAGGGCTTTTGAACAAACCTCTTCAGACTTCTCCCTTAAGGAATGAGGGTGGGATTGGCCGTGTGGCTCAGCCAGCTTCTCCCCAATCACTGGGGATATTTCTTTTTCTTTTACTTAAGACGATAAGTAAGATTTACAACAGCTTACTCTGCACAGTTAACACGTGTAAGGTTAAACTTTAAACATTTTACATCATTATATATCTGTGAAGATTCTCAGTCATCCAGGTGAGGTTATCTGGAAGTTGAGTCATGGCAACCGGACTTCTCTTGTTAGGTTGAAATGTTTTGCTACTCATCCAAGTAGCTTCTTCAGTAGTGAAACATTTTGACCTAACAAAAAAGAAGTCCAGTTGCCATGACTCAACTTCTAGAGAACATCAGTATAGTTTGCTGCAAACAATCTGAATCCTGACTGAACCTGTAACATGCAGTTGGGGGGGGGGGGAGAGAGACAGCTAACCTTTCCCTCCTTTGTCAGTTCTGACAAGACTTGCAGCCAGGCAGAGATGGTAAAAGTTAGTCTCTCTCACGGAATGGCTCAGTCCTGTTCCAAACTGAGGATTACCACAATATTTAACTGTAAAATACATTCAACATAATGGCTGAAATCTGGTTGCACAGCTCAATATGTGCAATAGCAGTGACAAATCTGATTAGTCTTTGGAGCACATGTGAATTTATAGCATTATGTATGAGTTGCATGCACCCTGAGGTCGCCTTTAATCAGCACCGATTTGCTGCTGCAGATTACTTCAACCCAGTTCAGCCAATGTGAAGCTGGGCTATGAAACTGCTTAGAAACCTGAGCTGTACTTGCAATAACATAAATCACATGATGAGGGATGCTGATAGCTGTTTATCACCCTCTCCGCAGTCACCACCCAGTGATAAAAGACCTTTTTTTTATTAATAAATGAGGTCATAGTCACATAAATCTGATTATGATATAAGGTTTTTATATATTAAAAACTATTCATAGAAGGGAAAAAGGATTTAAAAATAGGTTTAGATATACGATACCTTGATATTAATCTACCATCAAAGCGCAATTTATTGGAAAGCATATTTTCAGTTAATGCTGACTTAGTCTTTATTCTGTAAAAAGAACATTAACTATGTTAAACGTAAGTAGAATAAGAACCTTTTTGCATGTCAATTGCTTCTAAACCTCTCAGCCCAGACACATAGCCACTATGCTATTAGACAGGGGTCAGGGTACTGTACAGTGGAGTCTTGACTTACAAATGGCTCCACTTACATACTTTTCGATGTGCGTACTTCTCCGGCCGCAAGATTTCCAATCAACTATCAATGCAGCGGTGAGGGAAGTCCAGGAGCTCGAGCATGGCCGGGATTCCCGGCGCGGTGCGGCTCCCAGCAACGGCGGCAGGGGACCTCCAGAGGCCTTCCCCACTGACATCTGAGGCCTCTTTGAAGTCCCCCCACTGTCGATCATGCCTCTGAATCATGATCGGAGGTGGGGAGGCCTCAGAGAGGCCTCCCATGGTGGCAGGGAAGGCCTCC